CCTCAATCGCGTGCGCGCCGACAGCCGAGTCGGTTCGACGTCGCCTCGCGTGATTTCACGTCGTTGCACGACATCGACTTTTTCTTTTCTTAAATAACGACCGATGTTTCGCAGAGTCGTGCCTAACGTATTCGGCCGAGTAGCCCATCAACTAACTCAGTCTCATGCCTCGCCACGTCGCATTGCCAGATTACCCGTGGCCCTGCTAGGTCAAGGATGCAATTTGACCCGGATTGGTTTACACGTGTTTTATTGCGAGTCAGTTCGCAAATGCCTCCGCTATCATATGCACACGCGGTAACTACACACACACACACACACACACACACACACACACACACACACACACACACACACACACACACACACACACACACACACACACACACACACACACACACACACACACACACACATAGAGAGAGAGAGCTATGTCAAATCATTCCACAGAGGCAATGCATATGAAAGTTCAACCATGTAAATCCACTTTGCGTAAAATGTCGATTATGATGTGTACAAATGGCTGTTGTTCAAAGTTTGTCTTGAAATGTTATCAAGCTAAACGTATTCGTACACGTAGATGAATTAACAATTAACATAAGTAACAATAAACATAATGTAAAATTGAAATTTATTTTAGATAAAAAATTTACCAATTTATATTAATAAAATACTTTCATAAATATAAATTTGTCAGAAAAAAATTGAAAGAAGAATTGATTACAAATGTCCTTCGTAACACCAAATGTACAGATCGATCTTACAATTCTGAATCCTTTTCTTTTCTCTTTGTAATACACTTCTTTTTAAAGATATTTCTTTCCACGATGACGTTACGAATTACATATTACAAAATTTTTAATTCCATCTTAGATTAGATATATAGACAAGATAATTATCTCAAGAATTCTGAATCAATTTTTGTTATGCAAACAATATAAAAATAATCATGACGATCCGAAGAGTTTGCGAATAATCGTATATTTGACTATTCGGCATGATTAAAGTGAAGAAGAGCTCGAAGAAAAGACTTGTCTCGGAAAGAGGGCGACTTCTCGAGGGAATTTTTTTACTTCAATTTTGTTCCCGATGAAAGTTCATTTCCTTTAGCCTTGATATTCCCAGCGAAGTAAGGAACACAAACGGGGAACGCTGACTGTATAAGACGCGCCGCGTGATGTTATTACCCCTCGATAATGAGCAGTCCCAGAGGTAACGGCAACTTGGCGAAGCCGCTTGGAATTCAAGAGGCCATTCTGTCAAATGATGAATCGCTTATCTAACGCGTTTACAGCGATAAATACTCATTCCCGTGCCCTTTCGCGAGATGCAAGCACGGTCTTGCAAATCTAATCAACCTTGCATTTATATCAATCAGACTATCGTTATCTCGCAAATTTTAATTATAACGGCCAATGATTCGTGTGCTACGGACGAAGAAGAAAGAGGGAGAGGGATAGTAGAGGGTAGTGGTGAGTTGCATATTTACTAAGAAGAATAAATATAACAAAATTTATTTAGTTTAGTTAATATATCCGTTGCATTATTAATATAATGTTATGATTGTTACATCTTTGAAGAATTAAATTATTATTTATAAGAGAATAAACTTTGCTTGTAAAGAATATATAGAATTTACAAAGTTGAGAAATAACGCGTTACTATAACCGTTACCATTGCCGTTATTTTTTATTAGTAACAGACTGGTAACAGCGTTACCTTCTTTTAGTAACTGTAATGTTAATGTAACTACATTGTTTCAGTAACGAATTTAACAGTTACTTTTATTGTTACTTTCTATATTTTATCTAAATATTAATGACATAATTTTTGTATATTCAATGTTCAATTGATATTTACAGTTCATTGTTATATTTAAAAATGTCTTAAGAATAGTTTATTATAAGCCATTCACACAGATTTTATAAATAACATCTTTTGAAAATTTGTAAACAGAGAATTGTGAGGACAGTAAAAAAGTAAATTTGGTTGTATTTATAAATTTAATGAAAACCACAATCTTTTTTATTTGCATTCTGAATTTTTTAAAATCTTTTTAAATTTTTTATCATCTTGTGAATTTAAGATAAAAAGTGTTTATTGTTTTTATATTGATAGTTTAAAAAAAATATGAGAAAAATAAATTTTTATTTATTTTTTATTCATTTTCTTAATTTTAGTACTACAAAAAGTAATGGAAGGGTAAGGATTTTCTTTTTAAGTAACGATAACGATAACAAATTAATTTTCAAACTTAGTAACTAGTGGTAACTAGTTAGTGGTAACTAGTTATTTTTCTGATTCGGTAACGAGAAACAGTAACGAGTTACTTTTAAAAAGTAGCTTTGCCAACTCTGAAAATTTGTATGATATACAAATCGCAACAAACTGTTAACTAATAATATCAGTTGCTGTAATCTTATTAATGTGACTTTATGCCTGTCTATCCTGCAATTCCCACAACACAAAATCCTTCGGGGGATGTCAGGAATCGATGGAGCGATGGTGTTACATAGTGCAAGTACATGCCAGCAAAAAGGATTTGAGAGCAATCCGCTGTAGCTGCGAGAAAATGGGATGCAAAAAGTAGAAAAAGTCGCATCTTTCATATACTAAAATAATGTTAAATAAAATATTTTCATAATGAGGAAGAGAAAAAAAATAAAGAATTTTGTGTGACATAAATTTTGAACGTATCTGCTTTAGTATTACTAACTTATTTGTTCAAGTAGATATAATTTCAATTATATTTCTACCAAATCAATTTACAAATCTTCTAAAAGATTAATAAACGCGATTGTAGTAGTTCAAGTCCGACTCACACTTCCGTAGAAATTTTTAATTCGTTCAATCTGAAGTTGCGGTAAAGCACATTAAAATTACAATAATATCCGCAGAATAACCGGCATGTATACACATATATACCATATATTGTGTGCACATCAGCTGGCAGAAACAGTGACTGTGCAACCCGCAGCCTATATGTTAAAATTTGCAAAAACCCCCAGAGATTACCTGGCTTTGCCAGGAAAGTTATATTCATTCATAACACACATTTTCGCACATAGTTGCACGCCACTCTCGTCCGTTCTAAATAAAAAATAACAGTGCTTACCATTGCGTGATGTAGTCCGTGCCTATGGTGAAGATCGGCGCGGAAGTGCGATTGACCTCGGTGCCGTTCAGGCTGCTTTCGGTGCCGTTCATCTCCATTCCACCAAACCGAGGCGGCAGCAACCTTCGAAGCTACTGCGCCCTCTCCTCCTCAATACCCAGTCATCTCCCGGACATCCTAGAGAAAATAAATAAAAAAATATTAAAGTAAAGATATATTGTTCGGATATTCTGCAATACATCTAAAAATACCACATTTTTCTTTCGAGCTTGCGTTATAATAATTTTTTTTTTTTACAACAAAAATTCGATTAAACATGTTGATACTTATTTTATCCTCTTAATTTTCTTATATGAGGTTTATAAGTTAAGGCATTGAAACGGACATTTTTTATTTTTTTGTCTATTTGTAGATTTTTTTTTAAACTGGATTAAATAAAATAAAATATGTATAGAACGTATGGAACAAAGCTTTTTATCACAGCACGTAAAACAATTGAAATCGTTATTGCAAGCAACATTGTATCGCATGCTGGAGTTTTACTAATGTTAGACACGGCTCCCAGATTAGTCGAAGTATTACTGTCGATAACAAATATCTTTTTGCAAATGCGATAGAATTGTCAAGGTCAAGCAAATGAAAACGCAAAAACGCCTTCCTTCGCGTGAGACACGACGGACCTCGCGCTTTATATTTATGATTATGTCCTAGAAAGTGTGGTAATTATGGAATAAGTATACATACAATGCTGACTGTGTGAATTGCGAATAGGAAGCATTATTCGCCGTTTAATTGCTTGCATATAACCGAAGAGAGCGAAAGTTTTATATCTATAATTTAAGCGCGTACACTTTATTTTAACTTATTGCATCGCAACGCAGGCTTGTTCTCGGGAAAATTAATTATTAGTTTTGTATGGTAAATTACAATGCAAAGTATATTGTTTCCTTCAATTGCAAATACAAAATAAAACGTAACTGAAATTATTGTGCACGCGCAGATGTCGTTATGCAGATTGACTTTTAAGTGCTACCACGTAAAATCTCATTCTAAAATCGTACTTTCTAATATATTAAGATCTCACATAAGAAATTTAATTATTGCCTGACATGCCTCGTGCTCGATCAATAGCATTCCGACGTCAATAGTACGTCGATACTATCACACATCAACTCGGACTCAATAGCATTAATACTATCAAAATGTTTTATAAAAAGCGAGCATTACCGTAGTAATATATTTGTATTATTTTCCCTCCTTTTTAGCCAATTTATTTTTACACAAAAGCCTCGAAGACGAAACCATTTAACATCGACAAGCAAGTCGTCGGAGAATTGATTTGTTCTACTTGAAATCTCGTCTGAGAAAAAACCACCGTTTTCACTGCTTCAAGTAGATATGTTTTCTTACAAAAGAAATACTATCGTAAATAAATCGTTTCAAATGCTTTTAATATTTTTTTTATATAAAAAATTGTTAAAAAACAATAACGTTGATGTAAACTTGGTAACTTGATCGGAATCATATCATATTTAATTTTGTTTCTGTGATAACAATTAACTACAGCGAGACGATATTGACGATACAATGATAACAAAAGATCACACTAAATTCATTTGCTCTATGTATACGTTTTATGTCAAAGCTGACGAAAATTATATTATAATATTATAATATAAATTGATACATATTGTTATGTTACGCGCGAAGTCTTCTGCGGCCGAGTGGAGTAGAAGCGAAGCGTTCTCCGGCAACGGTTGTGTTGTTTATAAAAAGTACGACGTGGTGACTCGTGGCGTACAGACGTGTGTCCGCCAAATTATTGTTGTTGATTAGTTTGAATAACGTATTTTATTAAACGATGTTGTTCGTTGCCGAGCGCGGCTTTCTAGCGGAACGCGAGTGAGCGCGCGTTTAGTGAGAGCGTCAGTGACCGCCGCGGACGTAACAATATTAAAACGTGATGTTTATGAGAAAAACATATGATTCACCAAACCTGAACAAAAATCTGCATTTGTAATATAAAATCTCTAACGATAAATCAACTAAATAACTAATAAATGTAGATATGCCTGCGGTATAATAATAATAATAATAATAATATATACAATAATAATAATATATCCATGCATCATGTGCCCCACAAATATCTATCATTCATAAGAGAGATTGTTGCATACTATCATTAGATTAATTTTAACTGAAAGATCAAACGCAGATAGGCACGTAATATTTAATGTGTTTGCGCCGTAATACATCGGCGAAATTAACCGGCGCATGGTTTTCGTCAAAGAGGCATTGGCATTACAATTACATTTCATACATCGTAATTTCCTTCTTTGCAGGCGTTGTTATTTAATTAAAGGTGAAATTATGTGCCGCATTGCTGTTATGAGTTCATTTATTGTTATCTCCCGATTTACCATTCCAACGAAATATAGCGCATTCATTTATAAATGCGATCGATAATATATTTTCCATATACTAACGCAATTCACTGAAGTGTACATTGCAGCGGAACTTAATACATATTTATGAGCCAAGCAATGACACGCGATATTTATCAGATTGACAACACTTCTTTCAGCACATTATTTTCTTCATTTTCAATGTGCGATAACACGACCGCGTGAGGATATCGTTATCTCTCAACTATTTAATGACGACCTATAAATTGAAATGCTCGCCATCTTTAAACAAACCATTTTATTGTTGTGTAATAAAAGGCTTCATTTAATTAGAAAAGAAATAATAAGAGAAGATTAGCTTATGCAGAAAGACAAAACCTTCAAATGATAAAAAGTTTATTTGAGTACATGTATTGTTAAGAATTTGCATTGCGATGTATTATTAAACAATATCGAAAACAGAAAGAGTATAATTCATAAACGGAATTGATCAACAAGTCGAATGCAACTGCATAAAAGAAAAGAATTTACCTTTATCTTTTAACGAGATCCCAATTAGTATCAGGTATTATTACGTTAACCAAGAAATATCTCTCAGAATTCTCTTCTCCATTGCAAACGAACGCTTCATAACATTTTAGCCATTAACAAGAAGGGTAACACAATTTATTACTTACAATTATATCTAAACTAAAAAGTTATGAGTGCGGTATTGCGAAGTAAAAGAAACGGAAGATATATAGTATATAAAGTATGGAGAAAGAATTATAACATATTAGAAATCGTGAAAAAAATCTTATTCGCAAACTTATTCGGACAAAAGATATATCCCGAATTTAGATGTAACCTTAACATAATCTGCACCTAGATTCCAGATAGTTAAAATAATTAAAGGATTGCATGCGCGAAACACATTTTTCAGAGGACGACACTGTCAGCCATTTGTACCTGACATGGAAATCGCACAGATCATACTTCCTCGTTCACTAATTTCAAATCAAGATGTAGAAAACGTTCTTAATCACGCTTGACTAAAATCACTAGTTCAGTAATTGTAGGAAGCATACGTAAAGAGAGCTTTTGCCGTTTTATCCCATTTAAATTATTGCCTCGCACGCTCTTACGAATGCATTAATATAGTTTAAATAATTAACAAAACACTGTATTATTTTTATTGAGCTTTAACAAAAGGTTATTATTATATTAAATAAAAAATTATTATATTAAATATATTACTATGTTAAATAAAGGGAGCATTATTATTAATAGATAATTTGTGTGCATGTATACATGTGAAATAGAGAGTATATAAGAGATGTGACAAATAGCTCTGATAATAATTCGATTTTGGCACGATTCATCATGTATTTATTAAATAATTTGGCATTACACTTTCAAATGTATCATATCATTGTTAACATGTGTTTTCCAAAAGATTATGATTAATTACGCCGCTCTTTGGACCGGAGACAATCGGTTGTGACACATTTTATCATTCACTCGTCCCCGCATTTCCGTCTTGCTTAACGCTCGTTTCTCCCCAGAACGGGGATAAATTTGGACGGGGACGAGTATAACACGGTACTTCGGGCTTTATCAGTCTGCAAATTTATGCAATCCCCGGCAGCTTCTGTTTCTTTCATCTTACAACGCGAGCGCTTTGTTTCCGCCTACTCCTCGTACCTCGTTCCCCGGTTTAAATCGCGGTGAGAAAATATCGCGAAACTTTTACGTCAATCCCGTTTCCCGCGCTTATCGCCTGCGAGACGCGCATTCATTCGTTCGGATGAGAATCAGCGATATACTTACATTTTTTTTTCCAACCACCGTAGATTTCACCGGCGGTGAAATCTCCCCCCCCCCCCCGCCCGCCGGATTCGCAGCCGACGGGAGAAACCAGCCTGCACACGCAATGGTAAGCTTAGGAAATATGTAGCGCACGGAAACACGGAAAATAATGAAAATGGGACAAGTGGATTGCGGTGTGATCTCGCTGCTAACGGATATTTTGTAATAAAACACGGAAAAGAATTATCAGACACTTCAATTAGAAGAATGCGTGTGTGACGAGACATAGCAATTGACATTTGCGCAAATTGCTTTTTCTTCAATGCCGTAAAGGCGTAAACTTCAATCTGTAAACGCGTTGAATATTAAAGCGAACGAATTTCCAGGTGTAAATAACTTTGATGACATTTCAATCATATTTATCTTCAAAAAAGCAATCGATAACTTGAAAATGGGGAGAAGGGGGAGAGAAACTCGTTTCCATAAAGCTGTTATGCATTTTTATTTATAATAGAATATATTTATGTTAATGCTATAAAACATATAACATACTCTATATATTTTATGTAGCTCCTTCTCATATTGAGATCGACAAATTTTAAATATCAATATTAATTAAAATCGATTTAGAATCTATGTAAAAAATAGAAAATAAATTCATTGTTTATTAATATATATATAATTAATGAATATTGTTATAATATTTAAATAATTTAGGACTTTCTTCTGCATTTTATTTTTTTCTTGAATCTCTCAGTCTGATAATTTACGCAGAAACTTAGGCAGTGCAATCAATCATTTTTATTGATACAGTGCAATTAACACTCATTTATTTGTTTCGTGTATCCGGCCGTATATGATGCAGAAATAAAAAATGTAGCGTGATTCATCACTCGATGTATCCCCACGAATAATTCATCAAGCGTCGAAAAATATGAAGCTACCGTTCACGTGAAATAGCTTACTAATCAATTTTAGTCAGTAAGCTTCGATTGCGCGCGATTGGTT